TTGCTGTTACTCCTCCCTTCTGCTCTTGCTGTTTTTCTATTTTCCACCACCATGAACTGCTGCCCTTTGCCATGTGCCACTCTGCCTTGGAGCTCACTGAGTATGGAAAGAAAACTTTTTAACTGTGAGCTAAATAAACCTTTCCTTCCTTCATGTGGGTATTGGATATTTGTCCCAACAATGAAAGAAAAGTCGCTGAGACAAGCAGGAAGCAGTTTAATAGATTCATTGCCCCTTCATAACAACTAAAAGACAGGAATGATAGGTTCCTGCCCAAGCACAAACTGTTAAATCACTGCCCTCATTCAACATGGCTGAATCCCCCAAATACCAGAAAAATCACCACTTCCTCCTTCCTCCCCACTCCACCCTCAATACAACTTCCTCTTACCTTCCCCTCCACATGCAGAAGGGCCTCCAATCAGCTCCTGTGTGTCACTGAACCTGCCCCTTAAACTCCAACCCTTAGAAAAGTGCATGAAGCCTCAGGCCCTGTCTCAGGTCAGAGGGTCTGCCCATCTCCCTGCCCTTGAGCCTCTCTTTAGAGTTAAAGGGCTTTCTTTCTTTTTCTTTCTTTCTTTCTTTCTTTCTTTCTTTCTTTCTTTCTTTCTTTCTTTCTTTCTTTCTTTCTTCTTTCTTTCTTTCCATCTTTCTCCATCCATCTTTCCATCTGTTTTTTTCTTTCTTCCTACAATACAGCAAATAGAACCTAGGGCCTTCACAGTGAGCTACATTTGTACTGCATTACATCCCCAGCCCTTTTCTCCCTTTTGGCTTTGAGACAGGGCTTTTGCTAAGTCCCTAAATTGCCTGGGCTGGACTTGAATTTGCAATTCTCTGACCTCTGGAGACAGTGGTGGGAATAGAGGTATGTACCACCACACTAGAATGCTGTTCTTTCTTTTCTAAAAGGAATTGTTTATATACACATAGGAGAAAAAATCCTGAGGAAAACACCAAATGTGGATGGTTAATTCTAGCTGATTTTAATTTTTGGCATCCTTAAATGCATTTTTTAAAAGAATTTCCACAAAGAAAAATACATCCTTTTCATAGAGAGGTAAAAATGTTGCAAAGCCTTCTCTAGGTGGAACAATATCATTTATATAACACTCTTGATTTTGAAAGTTCTTTCTAATACATTCCAATTTCATCCTCCCAATGTTGCTATCTAGTGTTTATTTCCTTGTGGGCCTCAGAAGACAGCTCTTAGAAGGTTCAGAAATCATGTCAAGGACGGCACCAAGGAGTGGAAAAGGCTCTGTCTTTACGCTATAGATTTCACCTTCAGGTAGGGCAGGAGGAAGGTTGGGGGCAGGGCGGCTCAGGGAGAACTGCTGGTCTCAGGGAAGGTGGAATCTGGGAGCAGCTGACTGCTGTGGTCATCACACTCCTGGTGTTATGGGGTCACCACGAAGCTATTTCTGGCATATATTCAGGGAGTTGTTCTCCCAGGCTTTCCACCCACCTCTGTGGTTGGATGCAGGAGTTGTCTCCCCAGGTCAGGTAAGATCTCTAGGGTCCCTTTTCTCTCTCTGGGCTGGAGGCTGGCCAGTGGGCCAGTTTGGGGGGGTTCGGGAAGGGGCTGGGACTGGAGGCCGGAAGTGAGTGTCAGAAGTAGATGTCATTGAGCAAGGTCATGATGTCCCAGATACTTCCTCTCTCTTCAGCTGGTTAGACACTGCAAAGTGGGAACAAGTAGAAAATGACCAGTGCCATTTCAGGATGCTTTTGGGGGCTCCACTTGGCATTTCCCATTTCTCATTTGAGGTCTGCCTTGCTGTGGGAGGCTGATGTCCCCTTGCTAATGGGTGTGACCAGTTGGGAACATTTTGGAGTCCAGTTGGTAGGGAAGGAAGATGAGATGGTGTTACTTTTCCTGGCGCTAGAAGTGGTATGTTGGTCCTATAGTATATGAGAGGCCAACTGTTAAGATTTTGAGAATACTGTGAATCATCATGTTGGTCACTTGAAATTGGTCATTATGGGTCACACGATGGTCGTTGGCAGACACTACAGATTAGAGCTTGCCACTGCAAGGGAGCTTATTAAGCAGATATCTACATACTCTGGGCAAGGAGCATGGTTGACCTCATGGTTGAGAGTTCATTGTGGCCTTCTGAGAGGAGGATGACAACAGCATCTGACTGTGGCCTCCTCCTGTGACATTATGAGAAGGCTCACCCAGGAAGTGCTGAATGGGTATTTTTACTCTGAGATGTACTGTGGGATGTTATCTAGGTCACCCTGTCTGTGGCTGGGTCTCCTGTGCCTTCCATTCCTGTCTCTTTACACCCAGGTTGCAGCTGCCACAATGCTCGGGCCACCTAGCTGCTCCAGAAATAGCTGTTCCCAGGAGGAGGGGGATCAATGTCTCCCGCTACTGGGATGGCACAGTTTCCTGACTGCTGTCAGCAGAGGGCACCACAGGACTAATGATTGTGTCAGTCCCAACCCCTTGTCACAGTCTCCCTTTAAAAGAAAAAAACAAATGAAACTCCTAATTCAAATTCATTAATTTGAGCGAATTAAGAAGAGGTCAGACTGAACTGGTGGTGAATTTTAGATACAGCATCAACTGTGCTCAGAGGCGGGTAGTAAGCATCTGCAGCACTCTGCGGTCCATAAAAAACATCTGGTCCTGTGTCTTGTTTATTCCTCTGTCACCTCCTCAGGTGTGAGCGTCACAGGGCAGTGCGCACAGGGTTGGACTTGTGTCGCAGTGTCTGGACTCTGTATCCTGGCTCTGCCCCTGACTTTGGATGGGCTACCAGATGTAGCCCCTGCTGGGGGTTGGGAGGGTGACCTTGGGGCTTGGCGTGGCATGAAGTGGCGTGGACAAAGCACTTAGGACACTGCTGTCTGAGCAGCGTGCAGTAAGCCCTCAGCAGTAGGTCCTGGCTCTGATTTCTTACTGTTCCTCACCAGGCACCTGAGCGGAAAGGGAGAGAAAGCTCAGGGCCTTATAAAGAGCGAGGGGAAAGCCAGCACAGCAGTCCTGCTCTTCTACTCCAGGGTCTCTGCCTCTGCTTCTGGATGTACTTACCCTTCTTGCTGGGGTGCTAGAACCCCTCTTAACAACTTTCCCCGTGAAATCCTATTTATGACATTGATTTGGTTAGTAACTCTTTTTCCTTCTATTAGGGTCTTGCTATGTAGTTCAAGGCTAGCCTTAGACCCATTATGCCTTGAACTTGCAGGAATCCTCTTGCCTCAGCCACCCAAGTGCTGGAATTACAAGAGGGCACCACCATGCCCAGTAGCAATTAGTTTTCCTTTTTTTTGGTGCTAGAAATTGAACCCAGGACCTTATGCTTGCCAGGCAGGTGTTGTGCCGTGGGGCTATATCCCTGGCCCAGTAATTAATTTTCTTAATGAGCTGACAGTTCAGTTAACTTTAACTGAATATTACATAGACCTCACTATGTAAATCTGAGTGCATTTTAAGCCTTGTGTCATGATCTAAATGACTTTGGGGTCAGCAGTTGTCATGGGATAGATAGAGTAGGCATTCTGGATGGCTGGAGAGGAAGTTGATGCACACCCGGGCCAGATGTTCTGGGTTTTTTCAGGGGGGGATTGGACACAGGATTTTCACACCAACCTTTACCCCAGCTCTTTTTTAAAATTTTGTTTAAAAAAACAAATTTCTTTTGAGATAGGATCTTGTTAAACTTCCTAGGTTGGGCCCTAACTTGGAATCATCCTGCCTCAGCCTTCTCAAGTACTGGCACTGTAGTTGTGAGCTACCACATCTGGCTGATTTTTTGGAGAGAGGTAGGAAATTTAGATTTTTATGTGAAATATCTCAGTTGATAAATCTTGTTAACTAATATATATATATTAGTTATTTTAAAACTAATATTAAGAGTTAAAAAAAATGAAAAATCTGCTTGGTGTGGTGGCTCAGGCCTGTAATCCTAGCTGAGCTGGAGGATCGTGGTGAGTTCAAGGTCAGCCAGGACTACAAAGCAAGCTCCAGGCCAGTATGAACTGCTGAGTCTCAAACTGAACCAGTCTCAAAAAGTTTAAAAAGAAAAATCAAGGGCATCAAATAAAGCATTCTGTTTTATGGAATGGAATAGGACAGCCCCATTCCATTCTGGGTGTTAGGGACAGTCCCCAGGTGAGTGGGGGTGACTGTGGTAAATGATTTTGTTTCAAGGACAGCCAGAGAAGTGCCCCTGCCACGTGCTGACCCTGGGCAGAGCCAGTGCGCATGCTCTGTTCACTAGATCCTCTCCACCTTTGCTGAGTTACCGGAAGTAGCCGTCTTGTTTCTGTAAAGGATCAGTTTCCTGCCTAAGTAACACCGGAATCTTCTGGATAGAGAATGGGAATAATTGTGATCTATCTGCGACTCTGCAGGAACTGCAGGCAAGCTGTGGCATCTTCCCACCTTCTGTCTCCAAATCCTCCAATATAGTTTGATGTTTACCCTTTTAACGCCAACAGTGAAGCTGGCTTTATGATGCATACCCGTTATCCCAGCACTGAGGCTGAGGTAGGAGGACTGTGAATTAGAGTCCAGCCTAGGCAATTTAGCAAGACCCAAGCTCAAACTAAAAAAGGGCTGGAGATACAGCTAGGTGAGAAGGCCTTGCACTTATCAGGTGGTTCCTTGAGAAACGGTTCTCCAATCAGAAGTGTTCTGGGTCTTTGCCGCCTTGAACCAAGAACTGGATGAGACAAATGAAAAATGGTGTTAAAAGTTTATTTGAAAAGCACTGGGTGAGTGTGTATGGGAGAGACCAGCTCGGCAGAGTAAACTTGGCAAAACAAAAGCTAAACAGAGTAAAATGGAAAAGAAAAAAACACACACCGCGCCTCAGAAGTGCAGTGCAGGCTGTGGTGGGAACTCACTATGGTGGGCCTCCAGGGTTGCTAGCCTTTCCTGTCATCCACACCCTGTGGCAGTTCATAAGAAGTTCTACATGTGGAGTCCTGAGGGTTCAAATTTGTGGGTTCAAGCCCTGGTGGTGCTGTCCTGAGATCTCATAACTGACAGCAGGTCCTGCTCATTTCCCCAGCTGTCTATGCCACGCCCCACTTCCTCTACCAGGTTCAACCCCCAGCACTGGTTTAAAAAAAAAAAAAAAAAATCAGCAATGAGGATTTTTCCTCTGCAGAAATTTGCTGAGTGGAGTCTCTACTCTCTTCTCTGTGTGTGTGTGTGTGTGTGTGTGTGTGTGTGTGTGTGTGTGGCTGAGCCCACCATGGGGCGGGGCCGGCACATCATGTGGTGCCAGGGACTGAACCATGGTCCCTGCATGCTTGCCTAAGCAGGCGCTTTAGACCACTGAGCTATCTTGTCGGCTCCTCTGCTGTCTTCTTCTTGTTGTTGTTCTCCTCTTCTTCTTCCTCCACCTTTTTTCTTATTTCTTTGTTTTGACAGGATCTCAGTCTGTAATTCAGGCTGGGGTTGAGCTCATTACAGAATCCAGGCTAGGCTCGAACTTAACTCTTGTCTCAGACATTACAGATGTTCACCACCACCTCCATCTGTCTTTGCTTTCTAAGATCTTTTCCAATCCCAAATTTGAATTGATGTTTTCATTAATGCTTAAACAGTCAAGAATTTTTAGACCAAGGACACTGGTTTATGCCTGTCATCCCAGCTACTTGGGAAGCTGAAGCAGGAGGATTGGAAATTCAAGGTCACCGAGGCATGGCCCCCCCAAGTACTACACTTTCAGCTTCCCTTGCAGCTAGGTGTGATCATGTGATGCATGTTCTGGCGAATAAGAAAAGTGGTGCCTGAAGCTTCTATATAATGTCCTTAAGAGACAGCTTTTGGCCTTTTCCCTCTGCTTTCCCCCGTTTTGGTTGAGACATGCTAGTGGTGCAGCTGATCAGATTCTACATAAAGAGGCAGAACCATCACACCATCAGCTGTGGCTGATTCTTTGAGTGTTGCATGGTGCAAAAAACCCCAAACCAAACCTGGGCATGGGAGTGCTTGTCTGTAATCCCAGCACTTAGAAGGCTGAGACAGGGAGGTCATAGTGAGCGTCAGGCCAGCCATATAATGAGTTGAAGGCCAGTTTGAACTACATAGAAAGATCCTGTTTCAAAAAACAAAATCCCCAACCATTCCCCCCAAACAAACAAAACCCCCCAAACCCCTCAAAGTAATACAAACAAAACATAAAACCCCAGACTGACCAACCAACCAAACAACAGCTCTCTATCACCAAGAAGCCCTGGTCCCTTCTACTTTAGGGACTAGAACAACCTAAAAACATGCTCTCCTAGCCTCCATAGTGGCCAGGTTGGTCACACGGCATAACATATCCAACCAAGTAGAAGCTGAGGTTAGCTGGGGGCTTCAGGAAATTTGCTTTTCTGGATAAAAGAATGATGACAAACTGCTAGTCTCTTCTTTTTGCCTTGAGTCCTTGGAGCTTGACCAGTTCTCTTGAGACCCTAAAGATGGTGGAACAGAAAAGAAGAGGTGATAACATTACTGGGTTCCTGCATAGCAGTAATGTCTTCTGTGCCTATTCTGGGCTACTTGTTTTGTAAGAAAGACATAATCTTGTTTTATACTTCTCATGTGAGAAAAACCACACACTTTGTTGACACTGTACTAAAGACTTATGCTATGATATCCCCAAAGCCTATAGTATCAGTGGAACTTAGTCTTGTAATATAACAGAGATCCCATGTGTTGGTGATGTCATTTGACTCCTGAATTCAACTGTATCTGAGATTGATTCAGACTCCTGGATTGTTTGCATATTAGATATGGTGCATTCTCTTTCTGCTTAAGTGGCTTAGATTGGGTTTTCTGTTGCCTGAAACGGAATGACTCCTGATACAATCCTCCTTATGCACGGCACAATGACATTTTGGTCAGTGGTGACCCACATGCATGACAGTGGTACCATGAGTCTAATGAAGCTTAAAAAATCCCTGTGTAGTTTTTTACTGTACTTTTTTAAAAAATATTTTTTTGAGACAAGATTTTTGCTATATAGCCAGGCTGATCTTAAACTCACTTTGTAGCCCAGGCTAGTCTTGAACTCAGAGGAATTCTCCTGCCTCAGCTTCTGAATTGCTGAGACTACAGGAGTGTACCACCACGCCCAGCGCACTGTATCTTTTCTATGTTTCAATACACAAATGCACACCTTACTGTTGCCTAAATCTTCAGTGTAGTAACTTGCAGGACGGGTGTGTAACCCAGGAGCGGTGGGCCCTGTGATGAGGTGTGTGTGGGTAGTGGGCTCCGCTGTGGAGGCTTGTGTGTGCCCTGCATGGTGCTTGCCCACTGATGGTGGCACCTACTCGGGCATCTCCCGGAATGGGTTCATGCCATGAAGCAGTTGAACTGACATGACTGTATTAGTATGCAGCCAGGTAGGCTGATTTTATTTCACCTCCTCTCAGTCCTTCCCTAAAAGTTTATAATGTAGCAAATGAGTAAGATTATGGGCTGGAGGTGTAGCACAGCGGCACAGTGTGTGCTTATTATGTGAGGGCCTGGTTCAGTGCTCAGCCCCTGGCAATGCACATGTACACAGAGTTAAAGCGAGGGTGGAAAGAAGAAAAAGAAAAAAGAAAAACAATAGTAAGCCTCGAGCAGATTGTTTTGTCTTTTTGAGGCAGGTTCTCACTATGCAGTTGAGGTTAGCCTTGAGCTTACTTTGTAGCCCATGCTGGTCTCTAACTTGAAAAGATTCTCCTGCCCTAGCCTCCTGAGTGCTGGGCTTACAGGTGTATACCACCAGACCCAGCCTTGGTACAGACTTTATTTATTTATTTATTTTAATGTTCCTATGCTTGAATGTTCTTGTTCAGAAATCTGGTCTCTGCTTCCCCGGTACAGGATGCTGGTGTAGGATGCTGACCGAGTGGCACATGTCAGCTGCGCCTTCTGAGCCACCGAGCACCACGTTCCTGGGGCCTTTCATTCTCTTCACCTCTCTTCCTTCGCTGTGGTGTTGCCCATGCCAATTAACCAGGAGAGGAGACCTCCAGCTGTCTACCAGCTTGCCCTCAGGCCCACGGGCCGCAACCCTCTTGTACTCACTGATCTCCGGGGTTTCCGTGGCTTCAGAGAACAGGCTGCTTCGTGCGGTCCTGCTGCAAACCATCATTAAGAGGCAATTGCCACAGGGAGACAATACAGGAAGAAAAATGGCTAAAAATATTCAGTGATTCACAGAAAATTACCTCTCTTAGAACCTACAGTGTATTCCTATTGCCATAGTAACCCCCTAGTAGCGACAAAGCTGATTGATGGCCCTCTGTCCCCAGCAGTCACTCTGGTGGGTACCTCTAGACCGGGAGTGGGTCCCCGCAAGGAGGCCAAGGGCGCATCAGAAATGTGGGACTTCCCATCTCTTTCCTTCCAGGGGTGTTCCCTCTGTTCACACAGGCCACCTCCTCCCAGCCTCTCTTCTGAGGAGGTGACAGTGTCTCACCACTAAGCATCCTGTGTTCCACTCACACAAGTGCTGGTTGTGCCAGTGAATCCCCAGGGACCACACCGGTGGGACTCGAAGAGGACGTGGCAGACACAGAGGAGAGGCGTTCTGGCCTCCCGTCTCCCACTGGCTTTTTCTCTGTCTCTCCCTCCTGCTTGCCTGACCCCTCTCCTTCCCAGGCTGCCCCTGTACAGTCCCCTGGCCACGCCTCAGGCCTAGGACAATTGGGGAGTCCCACTTGGACACACAAGAGAAGGCTGCTGTCTAGGAAGATGACAAAAAGGTAGCTGGAAAAGCATTAATATATATTTTTTGATCTTTTATTTATTTACTTTTATTTATTTGGTATGGGGACTCACTATGCAGCTACGACTCACAGTGATCCTCCTGTCTCAGCCTCCCCAGAGCTGGGATTATAGGTGTATGCCACCACACCTGGTTTCTGTGATCAGTGTGGCCTGGGATCCACATAGCATGTGGTACTAGGGATCGAACCCCAGGTCCTTGTGTTTGCTACGCAGGTGCTTAGACCGCTGAACCATCTTGGCCCTGGATAAACATTTTGTTGTGTTGGAGTTCCAAAAATCATTGGTGCGCCGTCCAAATAGCTTAGTGGATTAAAGCGCCTGCAAGGAGGCACAGGGGCCAGGGGTTTGATCCCTGCTCCTGCTGTGCCAGCCCCGCTCCCCTGGGCATGCTGAGACAGTAATTGAGACTGGGTGTGGTGGCACGCGCACCTGTAAAGCCAGCTTTTGGGAGACTGAGGCAGGAGGATCTCTGTGAGTTTGAGGCCAGTTTATACTACATAGTGAGACCCTGTCTTAAAAACAAACAAATAAACCACCACCAAAAACCAAACACCCCAAAAGTGTAATGATAGTAGTACTTTATAATCCATTGGATAAAATAGGAAAACATAAATCCATCTTTTTTCTTTTTTTTTTGCGGAACCGGGGATTGAACTCAGACCCTTGCGCTTGCTAGGGAAGCGCTTATTCCACTGAGCCATGTCCCTGGCCCCCATAAATCCATCTTGACATAAACAAATAAACAGGGCCATGGATGTAGCTCAGCGGCATATTACCTGCCTGGCAACTGTGAGACTCTGAGTTCAATTCCCAGTACCAAAAACTAAAATTAAAATAAATTAAATAGAGGAAGAGAAGAGATCCCTCCTTAGAGTAAAATTTCAACCATTAAATGTAGGAGAAAGGATAATACAGCAATTTGAGAAACTTTATAGTAGTAATTTATTTAGGTAAGGTTTATCAATGGGTGTTAAGAGTCCTGGCTTGAAATTTGATAAGAAACAGAATCTATAAGACGAGTGTGGAGGCACCTGCTTATAATTCTGACACTCTGAGGGCTGGGGTAGGAGGATCACAAGTTGTGCCCACCCTACGTATCTTAGTGATTTCATGACTGTATCTCAAAGTGAAAAAAAAAAAAGTCTAATGAAGGTGGGGTGAGGGAAGGAGCAAGGCAGAGACCACTTGACAGGATTTTGTGGAAGCCATAAGGCATAGGGGTTCAATACCTGGTGCAGGCAGAGGGCAGTAAGGCCTTCTGTAGGGAACAATGATAAGTGGGCCCCTTTTATAAGGTTTGAAAGAAAGCAGGGGACATTAGGGGGGGAGATTTTTCTTTTATTTTGTACCAGGGATTGAACTCAGAATCTTGCAGTTGCTTGGCAGGTGTTTAAACTACTAAGCTCTCGCCCCAGCCTGGAGATTTTAGTAAACACCTTTGGTCAAAGTTCTCCGGCTGTCTTGCACCTCAATGGGCTGTAATGGCTCAGCTGAATTTTGTGCTATCAGTACGGAAAACTGTTAGGTTACCTTGTGCTTCCTGTTATCTACTCTAAGGAATGTGTCCTCACCCTCTGTTCAAGGCAGTTTAGTAATGAGTAACTTAATACTGTCTCCCTCCCCTCCCTAATCTAATTCTTGTAAACATAGTTAGTTAAAAATGTTCTAGGACTGTGAGAAATTGCTAAAGCCATAAGATTACCCCGACCTTGATTGCTTTCCATAAATGACATACAAACATCCAAATTCTGTGGCTAAGACTGTTTGTTCTGTCATGTCCCATAAGATTAAATTCCTCCTCTCTCTCAGAACTTCGCGGACCCCCCTCCCCTAATCTTTTCTGCAGACTAGAATGTGGTTTTTCCGCTTTAAAAGACCAGCCAAACCTTGCTTCACCGCTGGTTAGCGCCTCCCTGGGTGGAGTGCGGCTGATCTTCAGTCGCCTGTCTGGCTAATAAAAGGCTCTCTAAATTTTAATCTGTTCTGTTCTCGGCCTCTTATTTAATTTGAACCCGGCACATGGGCAAAGTCCTTAGAGTGACCAGTGTAGATTTTCAGGTGTCCCCAGATGTCTTGGGACTTACAAAATTCCGTGTCCTGTCCTCTCTTCTTTACAACGTCCTGTGCTTGACAACTCAGCCTCATTGCGGAGCTGGGTTCCCTGCGGAGAGCAGCGTCTCCGTTGGCAGGTGGGGGCGGGGCGCTGGGGACGCGGGTCTGGTTGGAGCCTTACAGCAAGGGGGGTCAGACCCCAGGACCCCAGAGACACAGTAGAAGAAAGAAGGGGGGGGGGAGGAAGGAGAGAAGGAGGGATTTACACAATCGCAGAGTAGCTGCTTATAAAATACTGACTTCAAAGCAAAAAACGTCAACTTTCTAGTGGAGAGACCCATCAGACCCCTCCTGCACCTGAGATCAAAAGTTAATGAGGTGCTGGAGGGGTCTGATGGGTCTCTCCACTAGAAAGTTGACGTTTTCTGCTTTGAGATCAAAAGTTAATGAGGGGGCCCGGGGAGATGGCTCAGTAGAATAAGCGCTTGCCTAGCAAGCACAAGGGCCTGAGTTGGATCCCCGGTTCCACAAAAAA